AGAAAATTGTGCATGTCATAGTAACAACAATTAATATGCATTGGACAGATTAGTAAGATGAATAAGCTTTTAAAATCCAACAATTTCATTAGTTACTTTCACTTTGTGGAATTTTATGAATGTTATTGCTACAAAAGCTATATTCCGGTCCGCTTAAACTTTATATGCGTTCTATCATTGATTGTTGCGCAGAATAAGTCTATGAAATTACATTAATACCCGGTTATCACTTCCAGAGTTATCACCCTTTCAGTGTTTTTGTGTTGTTTTTAATTATCAAATTTTTATTTGTCTTTACTTAAATAATTATACCAGGGGGAGTGACTTGTCTGCTGTTGTAAATGTTTCTTTTCCTAAAGACCAGTTGAATTAGTTACAGTTTAATACGCCGAATAGCTGTCTAGAACGATTCCAAATCAAGTACACAAGACAAGTTTCTAGATCGGAAGTGATATTTCGTCCATTAAAATGTTTTTGAAAAATACATTATAGTATATGAAAGAATATTTACCTCGTTGTGCTTGGTTTTGAAATATACATTATAGTACATGAAATAATGATTACTAAGTTGGCTTGGTTTTGTTTACAGAATGGATTCGGGCTTGTAATTAAGATGACATTGTGCTGTTTGCGTACCATTAAACGGAATACACGCAAATGTTGAACTATGGAAGGGATTACCTTCAAAGACGAATAGTAATTATACATTTGTAACAATTATACAAACATAATTGCCAAAGTAGCCAACATTTATTCTTTAACAGCCATTAAACAGATATATCCATTTGAATGGCTCTTAATATATGCTGTTTTATATTCAATGGAGTTGGGGGCTTGAAAACACTCGCATTTAACCGTATAATAAAATCGGGATCGAATCATAAAAACGCCGTTTACCTGTTTGACGGGTCTGGAATATACAGACTACTTTATGCGAAACAATATCGGGAAGTTAACAAATGTTTTAACAACCATACAAAACGTAAAAAAAATGACAAGTGTTGTTTTCTTTTCGGAAACGCGATCTCGATGAAATAAATTCTACTAAAACAAACGATGGAGCTTATAGCAAATGGAATGAAATTAAATGGGGTTAAACGTCCTACTGTTCTGCTCCGACTTGGCAAATGAAGACGGGCTTACGCCATACAGTGTGCTATGAAGGAAACGGCCCACTCTTATATCGAATTCAAACTACCAAGGGATCATTTAGGTCCACGCCAATGTGTACACGGAACCTCGGTTTTTCGTCCCATTCGAACGACTAGACAGATGTCCTTTCCAGGCGAACATAGCGGCATATACATGTATATTAAAATAGCAAATATCTAAATAAACACAAAGTACTCTCCTAACTTTGTCACAATTGACAATCTAAATATTACTGTTATTCAGACCCGTTAATATTCGATTTACAATGCTTCATTATTTTATTGAAGTTTTAACAATATCAAGTGATTAGTTATTTATAGGCCAATGTATTTTAATACTGACATTTTCAGTATCACACCCATCGGAACTGTTACGTAATCACTTTAAGTTCAACATTTATTAGAGCTTATGTTTGGTAGTGCTTGGCACTCTAAATTAAATACAAACTCCACGCCGATGCAACGTTTTCAGTGTCAACCATCTTCAAAGAAAAGTCCTGTGCATAGTCTTCGGGACAGTATTAGGTATACACCGCTCATTAAATCATATGTGCCCATTTAACGATTTAGAGACATTTAACCATTTGGGAGTGATGTAAACATGGATAAGGTTACTTCCTTTTCGATATTAAATTTACAATGTATCAGCCCAAAGAATAATATTGTTGTAGCCATTCTAATTATGACAGCAATACATCAAGTCAAATATATTACCACATGGGCACGGATTACAAAATCCCCAAAAAGTTGATGAATATTAAATGAAATAAAATGAGGTTTAACGCCCCACTGTTCTAATCCGACTGTGAATATTAAAACCCAGGTTACTAGTACTGAATATAATCTGAGTAAAGATGACTTTGTAATCTTTAAATATTTCATATGGTTTAAACAATATTTTTATTTCAAGTACATAAAGATTATTTACAACACTGATGTAATGGATTAGAAAACAAGCCGAAGCTTATATAAATTCCTCTCCATGTAAATTATACATTTCAATACAATTACTAATGTACAAGTATATATTACTTATTTACATTGACAAATAAATAAATAAATAAATAAGTCGTCATGATCATCATCATCATCACTTAACGTGAATCATTAATCACCATAGCCTGCTAATTCTTATTTATTCAAAGCGTTTAGTTAGTTTAAAATACTTGTGAACTTGACTAAAAATGACTTAGTTGTACGAGAGATACTTTCGTTGGTATCCCCATAAAGAAAAGCTTTTGAGTGTTTGGATTTAAGTGGGAGGGTAGTTAATGTTGTGATACGTGGAGTGGCATAGTTGGGGCAGTGCAGTAAATAGTGATCGCTGTCTTCTTGGATATGACCACATCTGCATGTCGGATTACCAGAAATATGCATTAAAAATCTTTGGAAATTTAGAGCACTGTTTATAATCGAGGGTGGGCGCTTCTTTAAAAATGAGAAATGTACGTCCTGATTTACAGGGAGGAAATAAAATTTATTCCATCTATTGATAATTAGCGACTCAGTTTAGACCGATTAGTTAAACTAGCCCAGGTAATATATATTTTAAAATCAGCAATAGTTTTATCACCATTTTTATTGCGTGAGAGTACATAATTTACCTAAGTCTACCTCATGAACAAATTTCAATTTTTTTTACTTCGGAATATAACAGTTGTCTAATTGATCCATATCGTAATGTTTATATTGTTATAATCTTGAGGAAATGGTAAGTTAAGGGTAAGTGGTATTCAAAGGCGTGTTAAGTATCGAATTTTCCCTTAAAGTTAAGGTGTCTTAACTTATAAGTGTTTAGTCTGTTAGTGGTATTCAAAGGCCAGTTTAAGTGACCTATGGGAGGTACTTTAAAGTTAAGTGAGATCAGTAGCAGGCCCGTAATGCGGATTTTAAAAGTTAGGGGATTGAGATTGAAACAAAGGCAATGTCGCTGAGCGTAGCTGGCATCAAACGTTTTCTTTTTCCATCATCAGCTTTGATTTTATAGAGTGTAAAAGGTTACTACCACCGAAATGGTCAAGGGTTTTTTTTTCGATCATCTATCATGTTCGTATTGCTTAATCAATCATGTTTGCCACGACTGTCATATAATAAAGTTTTATGCGTTAAATTTATTTGTAAATTTGATATTGCCGATTTCAGAAAATATTAGAACGGCCGCGAGAAGCAAGGCATGGTTTATTTTTTACAGTTCATTCTCATATACATATTTGAAGTTTTGATTGCTACATGTTCTTGTCTTCGTTGGTATAAATTTACAAATATACGATGATGACTGCTGACCGAAGCGTACCACCAATGATTTACACCGTACCGTCATGGCCAGGCCTTTGGGATTCTAAAGTTTGGGAACTGACACAATTTCTGTGAATTTCTGAATGATAAACAAGACCGAATGATTTGTTCAGTTTAACTGTAAAGCCAGTCCTGCGTATCGCTTATATGTTATTTTCTATTCGTTATAATAACGTTTACAATATCCATCATTATGCTACCACTATTCGATAACTGCTATTGAAATCTATAAAATATCTATTCGCAAACAGCTGTTCCGGTAACAGATGCGTACCATCATAATTTCAAACTTGAACTAGTATCTTCAGTGCGTGTATTTACACTGGCGTTTTCTTTTCAGCTTACGAAATGAAATGAAATGGGGTTTAACGTCCTACTGTTCTGCTCCAAAGTGGGCTAATAAAGACGGACATACGCCATACAGTGTGCTATGATGAGGGAAATTTTGCCCGGACGACCTACTATTATGTCTAATTCCAACTGTCAAGGGATCTTTTACGTGCACGCCAATGTGTACATGGGACCTCGGTTTTTCGTACCATCCGAACTAGCCGGCTGTCCTTTCCAATCGTCAAATAAATAACACCTTCCCACTTCACATGCTTTTCATTTCCTGTTCAAAGTTTTAGACTTGACTTTCCCCTTCCCTTTCTACTATCCATAGCTCGAGGTACGCATAACACCATCACCACACTATCAACATACGATAATGGGGTGTTCCCACTTACCCGGCAGGCTTTGATGTCAAATTTTGCCGCTAATCCAGAGTTAATCCTAGAACAATGGTGTTATAAACTATAGTCCATGTCTTTTTTAAGACTAAAACTGTATTGATTTTAACAAATTTAAATTTAAATAACATTAAATAGCTTACACATACACAGAGGTCATTAACGCTGAACACTAGTGAACAGTTCTTGAGTGACTACTTTTAAACAGACTATAGTTTTTTAAGATCAATCAAAGGATTAACAGCCTGCCGGGTAAGTGGGAATACACCACGATAATCGTGTCGCTAACCACATTAACCTATGTATATTACGTTTTTTGTACATTTTCATCAAGCATTTTGCTTTTGTAATTATAACTGTATGTAAATCGTGATTATAATTATAAACAATGTATTTATATGTCTGTAAGTAATTTATTACGGGAAATGGATTTATATAAGCTCCGGCTTGTTTTCAGATCCCATAATTAAATATTGTATCTTTATAATAATGTAAATATTGATCGAAGAAATATTGTTATATAACTAGACAGCTGTCCTTGTCAGGCACCCCGTCCTGCATCACTGACAAGGGGGAACCACGCCGGAAAATCTGGATGAACTTTATCGGCCAATGCAGGGATCGAACACCCGACCTCCAGGCCAGCGAGCCAGTGGCTCACCCATTTAGCCACCGTGACCCCTCCCAGTTTTCAGCATACAAAACCTCCACAACTAGATAATACTTAATAATAACATCAATATCTAAAGGTGTTTATCATTTTCGTTTGTATTCCTCAATGCACTCCAATGTTATATGGTCTTATTCTTTCTTTTTCTTGTAGAGAATCGGCGGTTAAATTAGATCCGAAAATACGACGAGGCTTATTTCTGTTTGCCGTGTCAAATTCCTGCATGGATCCGATTGTCTACGGTAAGTAGATTTTTGAGAACTAATGTTACGTGCGCACGAAAAAATCGATGCCATTATTAGCTAGTCTGTTCAAAGAATCACAAATTACAGAAGATCCGATGTTCAAGAACGATAGGGCAACTTTGAAGTTGCTCAGCTTATGGACTGCAGTAGCAGAAAAGCGCATTTGCAGCGGTTAAATCATCTCGGGGAGGAAGAGACCTCCACAGACCATACCCCGCGGCCCCGTGAATTAGTTGTTTGGAATTCAGGTCAGCAACGTTATATTGGATCATGTTCAAGTTGCTGTATTCACGGCCTGGAATAGCAGGAAAACGTGGACTGTATCCGATAGAATGGAATTCTGGTCAGCTACCTAAGTTAGGACACTTTGAATTTGCTGTATACACGGGCTCGAATAGTAAAAATCGGGAAAACGTGTTTGTGCCGCTGTCAAGTGTTCCAGCCCCCTAACAATCATCGGTCCCGTATGCCCATGGACGAACACTATCGATATTTAGCGCCCTGTCTTTCCTGAGTTAAATTGTTAACGCTATATATGCTACAGTTTTAACGGATTTCTTACGGATTTGTTATGGAGCACGAGAGGATGGGTTTTTTCGATATTCAGTTTTTCACGACTTTCCATTCCGGAATTACCTAATTCGGTTGAAGCATTGGAGTCATGCGAGGACTATTTTTATCGATATTCAGCGTTCCGCGACCTGTTGTTTCAGAGTTACCCCCCACCCCAATTCGGAATATACACTGTAAACAGGTTTCTTGTGAAGGATATGGTGTGAAGGATTGGGATTACGCGAGAACAAATCCTGTCGATATGCAGCGTTCCGCGAGCTTCTGGTCCGGATTCATCCCCCCACCCCTAGTATAGGCCTTGTTAATTTGGTGTGCAGCATTTGGACTACGAGGAGATTAACTCACTGATTTTCAAATTTGATGCGAAGTATTTAAATTGGAAAGGATCAATCTCGTTGATTTTTAGTAATCTGTTCCTGGGATATGTGTTTCCGGGGAACTTTGTGAAAACGGTAGAACCTAGTTTCCTTGAATGATCAGTATCAAATCTGGCAAAAATTTAAGTTTTCCTAAGGATAAGCTGCTGTTGAGACCTATCTGCGTTGTTGGCGTATTTCTACATTTTGCCGGGATATCTGTGGTTTGACATCCACTTTCACAGTAGTGATATAACAGACAGGAAGTAAACTGGGTGAAGTAGAAACTCGTTCCTGTATATCAGTATGATTTTGTAATCTTTCCATTTGTGACCTATGACTATGGATTGGTTTAATGACAGTGTATTCGCTTTATTTATAAAACATAATGGGCTTAATTAAACGAGTTTCCCCTATATTGATGGTGGATATTAGAGAAAGCATTTATGCTTGTACTGGCGCATGACTCAGCGCGCACTGGTTGAAAGTAGTATAACTCCAAAACCGGAAGCGGTAGCCCAAGGCCACCTAGCCTATGTTACTTCCCGGTCCGATCTAATCCCAATATACCAAATTTCAGCTTCGGGACATCGGTAGTGTAACCGCCAACCCTGAACAGACAGACAAACGACAGTCACATATTAAAATATTAGTATACACATAAGCAACCTATTCTGGCTTGGTAGGTGTTTTCTTTTAGATCGTGTTTTAGGCACCCTCCCTTACTTCGCTGTTCCACTTAGTCCGGTTTTGGTAATAATGTCCATTTTAAAATAAGAATTTTATATAACAATAACAGTGAAAAGGTATTCCAGACTAAGGGACTGGCTTACTTAATAATATAAATAAATAATTGTGACGCTATTTAAGCTACCTGCTTCGTGAAAGACTAAGGTGGATTTTGTAGAAAAATCAGAGTCAAAAGCCACCCTAGAAGAAGTATGTCGTATGATGTAGCAGCTCCCAGATTTGAAATAACCACAGAAACTTAATTTAATATCCTGCAATTAGTTACCGTGTGTCTTGACGCTACATACTTTACAAATTTAGTGGTTTACCCATGTACAGTCATCTGTCACCATTAGTTTTTGAAATTTTTATGACAGACATTGAACAACACGCGCTCAGCACCTCATCAATTACTCAATAAGTTAGCTTCGGAAGGTTGATGACACGTTTATGGTACTAGATGAAGATGGCGAACCGATGGCACTACTATTAGTTCAGTTAAATACCCAGCATGCTAGAATTAAATTCACCACTGAGGCAGAGAAACGATTATCTCTTAGATGTTCAAGTCGTGAAAGTTAACAACCAAATGAAAACAAACATATTTACCGCAAACCAAGCACCCACACAGACCAGTATATTTATTAATCCTCACTCTATCCAAAAATTCCATCATATCCACTCACGCCAAGCCATAAATATATGTGAACCGGATTTTCTACAGGAAAAATTAGATCATCTACGCATGTATTTTGTAACCTGAATAATTACCTTTCACCAATAGTAAAGAACCGATTAATGATACCATGAAATGAGAGACCAATCGCCAGGTTGAATCACTGCTCTTTTTCGGAACCTATAGCGTACCAAGTCAGGATGTCCTAAATTGAGACCACGTAGCGTGTACAACACTGAACCAGATATTAAAAGTCAATGGCAAACTCAAGTACAGCCGAAAGGAGCCGTCTACCAAGTTAACTGGCCCTGAATAAGTCGTATAAAATAATTCAAATGTTTCCACTAACCCTTCGGCCAGAGCATCTCGATAACCACCCACACCAAATAGTCAAATTAAAGGACGTTCAAATACTTAAATCTAACCTCCGCGCTAAGAAAATGGCGAAGATCCTCGCCATTAGTAGACATTCTCAGATATAAAAAGAGATTTGGGGCTTTATATTCCAAGAGCAAACAATGAAGTAATTAGGGTGCATACTATAATTGAACTAATGTTCATATAATAATGTTAATATAATATTGTGTTTGATAACAATAAGAGCATACTTGACGAAATGTATGCTCATAGATTTTCGATATTCCACAATCGTCAGTCCCAGAGTTCTGCACCTCTTTCCCGAAAACCTTGTGAACATGTTAGAGGCTAGTCTTTAATGGGTTTGTTTTAAGGTAATGACTGGACAAAGCCTAGACACATTAATCATTCCAGAGTTACACAACCACCCGTGAGCACGTTATAGGTCAGATTTGTTGAAGGCATCCTTATCAAATTTAATCAATATCCAATAATTTATCCTTTCGAATAATCTGCTGTGTGGGGGTATCACCACGCTTTGCGTCGTTATCTTTATATTACCAATTTTAGGAGTTTCACTGACTTTTGTCTCGATTTTCCCTGCAATCATAGACGTACGACTGTAAATCATTGATTTGCTAATTGGAATTCAGGTCAGCCACCTATGTTAAAGCGATAATTGCATTTTTTAAGTCATATGTTTAAAATGTGTTAAAATAAAGGCTTAAAATACATATCTATACACACAGTTCTACCTTGTTAAAGAATAATCCTATAATTCACTTGTGTCAGTTGAGAAATTGGTAAATATATGATTTTCTTTTTAAATAAAACGTTGGATTTTACGGTGTTATTATCATGTGAGCCGGTTTGAAAAGTCTTGATCAACCAGGCATCAATATCCTTATCTGTTTAGCCAGGGACCTTGGCAATCGAGACAACCCTCAGTTCCATTGTGTAGATTTAGTTTTCCAGTAAAAAGAAATGATACAATTTCCAAATACCGTCGGCGAGTAGAAATTATTTCAAATTTTTATGTGAATGTTTTGTAACTGCTAGAATGATTCCTATGATTGTATAGTAGTGATTTGATATCTATTAGGTAATAGATATAGAAATAATAATGGTTTGACTTTCTTAGAAAATATGCAGTTATCACCTTAAGCTACATTAGACCACGTTGAATTTGATGTTTTCACGGCCTGTAATCGGAAGAAAACGCGTTAGAGACAGTCAGTTTTCCAAACTTCCAAGGGGTGGCTCCACTTCCCCAACGGTAAGCTCTACACCATCGTCCCTTGGTCATGACTGGCGCCTCCTTCTGTAAACGGGAATATTGTTCGGGGAGAGAGAGAGAGAAATGGGGTTTAACGTCCACTCGACACAAACTAGATCATTTCGGGACTAACCTATGGTTTAATTTTATTTCAATAATTCGCTTGCGCATAGGGGTCTTTAGCAGTGGGAGGAAACCGGAGGACCCGGAGAAAACCCACGAGGTTGGACAGGCGACCCTAATCCTTGTCACGTACAACCGAATATTGTTCAGGCAGCGCATGTGTCGGATCGTAACGTTATGGATTATGGCCCATGAGTGTACGAAAAATCACGTTATTAGCTTGTGGACACTATAGAGGTCACAGTTTTTAACCGATTTTGATGTTTATAACCCAAAGATCACGGTTCCTGTTGATATTCGCGCATATCAGACCGTAACTTCCTGGATTATGGCCCGAAATTAATTATGGCGTAACTTGCATGGCAACCGCTGGTTTTAATACCTAAATATTATTTTCTTTAAATGTCGAGCGTTCTGAAAAGGTCATGTTATGCACAATTCAGAATCAATGTCTAAGACGCCCTTTGCTTTGGTGGTAAATATTCAATAGGGGCTGGACCAGTTTATCTCTAAGGCTCAAATTTCAACGGTTTTGACTTCTAAAAACATTTAACCAGTCAACTGATTTCAACCAAGTTTGGTAGATATTGCCTGATTACTGATTATACCTGTTTGTCCAGTTAAAGGTACTCTTTGCTTTGGTGGTAATTAATCAAAGGTCAAATTTAAACCAGTCATCTGATTTCAACCAAGTTTGTTAAATATGTTACCTGCGATTTCTCCAAATAAATTGTATTAATTTGTAAGTCTCATTTTTTAAAATAGATTTGAAGAACATTAAGTAAACTAGTAAAAGATAGGCGGGGTAGGCTGGAGCTTGTTTGTGAGGTCTTATTTCGTTGCTTTGTATACCTCTTTATCACTCTCATACCTACTTACATGCCTTTCAAGTCTCGGAAAATACCAATATCAGAAAATGTATGTGTGTTATTTAAATACTTATAGAATCCACCCATCATTATTAATTTGAAGTAAGTAATCAAGTGGAAAAAATGCATTTCCGTAACTGAAACTAATAAGCGGTTGCCATGCAAGATAGTCCATATTTTGCAAGAGATGGACAGAAGACAAGCTAAAAAAATAGCGATTTTTCATACAATCAAGAGCCATAATTCAGAAAGTTAGGGTCAGATACGAGCAGGTATTGAAAGGAACACATTAAAATCAGATAAAAATTGTGACCTCTTGGTATTACATACATGTACTTTAACACTATTTGCGTAAGAGGAACGGCCATTTTGTCAGGCAATTTCGGTCCGATTTTTACAACATTCGATCTCTACATTTATTATGGTGTAACGGTGATATATTTAATGGGTTTTGTTTTAAATTGGATGAAAATTGTTCTCAAGAGGTTATAGTCCGATATGCGTGAATATCGACAGGGACCGAGATCTGTGGAATATAAACAAATATTGTAAGTTTCATCAAAATCGGACAACAATCGTGACCTCTAGAGGGTCCGCCACCTTGGTATTGCATAATTGTACACTATTTGCGTACAATCGGGGGCCATAATCCATGAAGTAATAGCCAAATATGCCAGAATATCGACAGAACAGCGGTCGTTGGATTGTAAAAGTTCCATCAAAATCGGATAAAAAAATTTGACCTGTAGAGCGCCCACAAGCCAAAAAATAACAATTTTCCATACAGTCAAGGGCCATAAACCAGGCAAGTTACCCTCCGATATGCGCGCATGTCGAAAGGAAACGACATCTTTGCGAGATAAACCAATATTTCAAGTTTCGTCAAAATCGGATAATAAATGTGACCTGGAGATTGTCATCAAACAAAATGTAAACCGACGGTTGGACGGACGGGGGCGACGAAAATATACGTGCACATGAAAATGTTGGCGTATAAAAATATCCGTGTGGAAATAGTTGCAATATGATTTCACGTTATATAGAATTATCTAATTTATTTTCTCGATGGGCAACATGTAGATCGTATTTATATAATATAGTCTTAATTCTATTGTTTTGTTATAAAATATTGTTATATCATGGAATTTTAATGAACATTCCAGCCAGACACACTGACCGGATTAACTCAGAAGAAAGCTATTTAACATGGCCTTAATTCACGAAAGCAATAACTTGTATGCAATAAAAGTGTAATGAATACCCATCTAGTCCAACCATGACTTGAGAGAGAATGTGCAATTGAATTTTATTTTCTCTGTTTTGGGTTAGTGGCAATACAAAATGGGCCAAGTTTATACGGGATACTATATAGGTTTGTGGACCTGAACCCATTTGCCGTTCTTTGGAACTAAACTAAGCAATCCTGCAAACTCATAAAATCACATTTAATCAAAATAGAAAAGATAATTGTACCATTTCATGAAAGTGGTGATTACATTTTTAAAAGTATTTGACCTTACGTGGATATGCCAAGGATTGGAGTAAATTTGTTCTTTTATGATGTTCGTATTAAATGGGGTTTATAGGTGGAAGTTTCTTAAATCACCTGTTACCTCTATATACTTGTAAAACATGATCCAAATTAGCTCAGCCGGCGGAAACCTGCGGCTAGAATCATCTAATGTAAATGGGATTCGACTCTCGAGGGATGCGGTCTTCGCCTTGGAAGGTTTTGATTTATTACCGGTTGTTGGGTCATTATTAAAAGAAAACCTCTTCTTTTACTCCAATTAAAGCTCATCGTTCATGCCAATTTGCCAGGAAAGGGCTAATTACTTTAATACATTAGAAGATGGAAGCGGCTGTCCAAATTTAGATTCATTACTAACATTACATCCTGTTGGGGGAAAATGTGGTTTTGTAAGTAATGACATCTATCTTCTTGGCGCCAATTATTAAAAACAAAGAAGTAGATCTTCTGCAATAAATAACTACCAAAAATGAATTTCGCCTAAATTGGTGCACATAGTAGTGGAATTTGGAGGCATAACAACATCAATTGCACGAACTATTGCTTTTATATATAAATTTAGTTTTAACGCTTACAATCAATGGGCCATTTCACCAACTCAGTGGGGGGGTTGGATGGCTGAATGGTTAGCGTGCGCGCGCTGTATCATAATGTCTGTCATTGAGTCGACTGGCGTGGTTTCGAATCCCCGGTTGTACGTGGCAAGGAGTAGGGTCGCCTGTCCAAACACGTGGGTTTTCTCCGGGGCCTCCGGTTTCCTCCCACTGCTAAAGACCCCTACGCGCAAGCGAATTATGTAAATAAAATTAAACCACATGTTAGTCCCGAAATGACCTAGTTTGTGTCGAGTGGACGTTAAACCCCATTTCTCTCTCTCTCTCCCAACTCAGTGACCTCTCCTCGAAACTTACGTTTATCCACCCATGATAAAAAGTAAAATATTAAACGCAAAAATGTGTTTCTGTGATGTTGCTTGACCCCTAGTCGATTGATCCGGAATCAACATCCACGGGATTTTCACGATTTACTGAAGTCTGGTCATTTCTGATGACACTTCTTGGTATGAGTCTGGTGGATGACCCTGTGCAGTAACATGGGTTAACTTGTAATACAAACAGTAAACTTCAAGTGAACTCGCTAATCATTTTTAATTTGTATGTGGTATTAGAAGCTCCTCAATGAAGCGAAATTATAGTATTTATGCCCTGATATTTGACTAGATGCCTGCTTTAATAGCAGAAACGCGCCGATATTCCTTATCCTTAACTCATATTTAACCAGCCAGACTAGATTCTTAGATCTAATCTTAGTGTATTTCAACGTTGAACAAGGAAAGAAATTCAAGTTCTTATACAGTATTTCTCTAGCAAATATCTTGCCAAGACAGCCCCCAACTCGGCAGTAGAATTTTAGGCGTCCAATTCCACACTTAGTTTTTAATATGGTTGTAATTTGCAAAGTTTACATGATCGGATGTATATAACTCTGAAAGCGTACCATTTTTAAGACCCATGGCCCACCAGTTCACACTGAGACTGCTAGCAACGTGATAGACTTAATTTGTTGTCATCGTTATAAATTTATACATTTACAAGATATAAGTGGTAGGTCTTGTGTCGTATATTGTGAGATAGGCTCTTTCGGACAATCTTCCGGTCCGATATTTCACCTTAATTCACGGCCTTCCTCCATGATCCGTTCGGTATGAGTTATGTTAAGTTGTGTGTCGTAGGTAATCTGGAAGCGTCAAAGGGGTTGCATGTTAATTCTCCGAGTTGTTGTCCCTCGCCTGCAAAGTTCACGCTATAGGCCAGTGAAGCGTTTCTATTGTGAACGCAGGACTCTTGAGAAAAAGCTGCTTAGTATGTTACCTGGCAATCTATATTTTTATTCTTCTAACTAAATTTTAAAGTGGTCGTATATTGCCGTCATCCCCGTAGCTGATAAAGTGTACATGTTTCGTTGCCTGGCAACCTGTTTTCAAAAACTTAAATCTACTATATTATGATTTTTATTTTAACCTCTTAAGATTGATACATTTAAGTATCCATATTGCATGATAAACCACCGTGGATATGCCTGCAATATTAACGTACCTTACTTACTTTCTAGTATCTTATGTGAGAGGGGTAGTCAATTTATGCATGAATTTTGAGACTCTGTCTTTTATATTTTTGGCCAAAAATTCGAACCTATTATTAGAAGTACTACAGCATTTTAAAAATAACGTTGTCGAGAAATCGTTGCATGTTGATGTTGGTGGTTATTTTCTTTTATTAAATTCCAACAGTGATTATACAAATGAGTAACTGGGGGTCCCTTTTTGTTGCAGGCATGTTCACAACTGCTTTTGGAAGGGAAGCGAGAAAATGGAAGAGTTGGTTAAAGACCAAATTAGGCAGGAGACCTTTCTTTACTAGGTGTGCTACAGGTCAACCGTTTATATACTCTTATTCTCTCTGACGTATCCATAGAAACAGACAAAGAATGACGGGAGTGGTTTGAACTTTGTATTTTCCAGGAATGTTCACCATAAATTTTAAGCGAGAATTTAGCCGGTGCTGCTACTGTGTAAAGACGATTCCTAAAGAGAAAGTGAAAGAGGTCAACGAAATAAACAGGATCTTCTCTCCACGCCGAAGTAGCCTTCGCAATTCAGGAAGCTCTGGTACATCTCAAAAGAACGCAGAAAGACTGTACATTAGAAGTCAGGATAACTCAGGATCATATATGCGCTATACTCCTATGTCTGAGTCTTTAACAAATTCAAGATTTTCGTTATCATCTATGACAAGGGAAAATGGACAATCTTGTCGAGCAAACATTAATAATTTTGTTGGTATCGGCTGCATGGGAGAGACGATTTAAAATTGACTATGCCGATTATATTTGCTCTTGTTTGTTAAATCTTATTCTTTTATCAAGCCGCTGTGATGAATTGTAAATATGGCTTTTAACATTTGATATGTATATGTATATGCCGTGATAACGGAAACAGTGATAACGGATAATTATATTGGATGCGTGCTTTAAAGTCTTAAAAGCCTAAACTAAAGCATTGGGAACGTTTGCTGCGTTTGTTTCGTTTCTTTTGACAAATCTAAGCGCCTTGGAGTTTTATTTGCTTAAAACCCTGTGTGCGAAATTTTGGTTGTGAATTAGCCTAAATATAACATCAGTGTTTGACATAAAATCAGACTGTTCCTATCAACTTGATTTTGCTCATAATTTATTCCGTGTAAATACTAATTTCTTTTCCAGATTTTGTGTGTTTTAAAATTGTATACAATATTGAAAATTGTATACATTTTTTTTTTTTTTGCATTATAGATATACATAGATTCACTAATTGCCTTGCATGCACTAAATGTCATCGTCATCATTGTTACATGTATATTTAAAGGGTTCGATCAAAAATTGTACACGTCATCACAATGTTTGGTAAGTTAAAGGCTCAATACCACTCTTGTTGTAACTGAATAATATGTCCCAATATTTATTCTGGTCAACAAATTGTACTATTTTACAATATTCCAATTAATTGATGATACAAATTTCATCTTAACACACCTAATTTCAAAAATTGGAAAAATTCAACTAAATGATTTGAAAAGCCTGGATAATTTACACAACAGGTAGGACACTAACACATCTAGTACTTAGAATAAGGCTATTTTTTTTATTTTCTGGAGCTGTCAAGCCAGCAAGAGTGTTATTGTCCCTTTAATAAATTACAATTTCACAATTTTATATGGTATCATATTGATGTTGTTAGTAAGTGCATCGGGACCACACTATACTACCTACAAACAACATCGAAAAGACAAACCTGCGGACACAAGCTACACAGACAATGCAAACAATAAATAAGTAAGTAAATAAATTAGTCTAACTTCCTTCAAGTTATTTTATATAAATAATTCACAGGGAATGTACTTGTATCGTTTGACGATATGAATAATTATTAAATTCCACATTTTAGGTATTTGCTTATTCTCCCTCTTTATATTTTTAAAATAATTATGTAGTCTTAAATTAAACGTTTCCGGCGTGGTTTACCATTGTCAGTAGCACAATTACAGCTGTCTAGTCGTTCGGGTGGTACCAAAAACCGAGGTCCCGCGTACACATTGACAGTCCGGTCGAAATTTCCCTCATACCACACTGGATGGTTTATGGTCGTCTTCATTTTCCCAGCCATTTTAAGCCGAATTATGGACGATTAAATAGAGACGACAGTTCTCGCTATAATTGTTAAAAAGAAACAGATAATGTAAAGGGAATATGCTGAAAATTTCAGTCAAATTACTTAACACTGAGTCGAGAAATCCTCATTTCAATAACACTGTAGCCTCGTTATTGTTAGTATGTTACCGTCGTTACGATAATAGCAACTTCTCGGTTATCCATTTTTACGGTTATTATCAACTGACGTTGAACCACAGATCGGATTCAAATCTGATTAAAATCGGACCCATTAGATGGCATCGAGTGTTGATTATAGTCGTTATCTGTTAATAAATGTCTAATTAATAGTTTATATAACATTTAAGGCCTAAAGAAAAAACCTTAATAGGCAGATTTAGCTCTTGCATATTGCCTATTTAAACATACATTATGCGACAGCTAAATCTGCCTATTGCAGGTCTTTCTTTAGGCCTGAAATATTTTCTAAATTATTAATTAGACATTAATTAACTTATCCAGGCCATAATCAACCATCGATGGCATCGGATGTCTCCGATATTAAATAGTTTAGAACAGTTCAGTCATAGTTTGATTTAGGCTAAAAATGGAGGCGCGAGACTTAGCTTCGAACAAACCAGTACGGTGGTTGAAATTATTGCACAGGTTTTGTCAAACCTTCAAAGGCTAATATCTTCGTTCGCAATAGAGTAATTTGAATGAAATTTTCAAATTATTAATTTTACATTATCTATTTTCGAACTATTATAGCAAGAATGGCTACCTCTTTATCTAAATCTTACATAATGTGTATTTAATGAAACAATATTCATGATAATTCTATTTTAGTCTTAATCACACTGATTTACCTCTTCAAGCTTTCGCCGATTCAACACAAATATTTATAAGTTATGTAGGCAATTAAAACAAAATGTTTAATACATCTTCTTAAAATTAGAGTGCTATTTATATTTATTTTAAAGATGAATTATGTAAGATTTTGATACAAAGTTGGCCATTCTGTTTCAAAATTTATAATGAAAAATTAATATGTTTAAGAGCATTTAGTAACTAAATGTGTCTTTTGTTAGAAATTAATATATTGAACAGTTCAGTCGAATTACTTTACTCTGAGTTTAATTGTGAAGTGTTGACACGAAATATCGTAAATAGTCTCGATTGACAATTAGTATCATTTCTACGATAATATACGAAATAATTTAAACGAAGGTATGGCTGACATTTTCTAATCCACTTAATATTTCAATCAACTGTATTATATTATTATTATTTGAAGCGAGAAAAGACCTGCAATAGGCAGATTCAGCTCTTGCATAATGCATCTATGAAGATGCATTATGTAAGATTCAGATAAAGAGCTGACCGTTCTTGCTATGATAGTTCATAAATAGATCATGCAAAATAAATATATAGGAAATTCCATTCAAATGACTTTCCTCTCAGCGAAATTATCAGTGTTTGAAGTTTTAACAAGATGTGGCATAAATTGTTAATTATCGTAACAATGGTACTTGTTAATTCGAGACTTAGCCTTGTTTCCCCATTTTCAATTAAATAATTAAATGACTAAATAATTAAATAATTAAATCCCCATTATCCGACGTTCTACTGTCTGGTCCAGGAGATACTCTTAGTCTAATATTCTTCGCCATGTCTTCAGTTTTTAATTTAAACGGCCAAAACTTGGTGACGTAACTGAAATTATCACCCCGTTGCTCCCTTCGTCAGGCCTTAACGCCTAGATGTTTGATAAAATCCACTATCCTCTTGTAAATTTCACATATTTCGACATTGTTTTATCACAGAATATAAACATTACGAGTGCGTCTGCGTAAATTGGCAGGCTTGCATTTCGCTTAAAGGGTAGACAGGAATCTCCAAATCGGGTACATTCGGTTTTAGTGAAGGAAAATTCGCCCGGTTTTTTTGCGGTTATTAGGGTTTCACACTGTGAAACTTTTGTTAAACACTATTGTTTTTGGTTGTAATAATATTATGTTCTGTTTCGACTTGCTTATTTCGCAGAAACTGCTCATTAAGCCACTCGGTCTGGAAATGTGCCATTTTTATAAACACATTATTAGTTTTCCAAAGTATGTATATTTTGATTAGCTGTAAATAAATATTAAAAATATATTTATCTAAATTTTCTCCATTTGGCGATACAGTTTGTAGCGTATTACTAAGTAATGATTATCCGATTGACACAAAATCAACGGCATAGTATCACCATGGCACTAACTATCATAATTATTGATACAAAATATTATTTTATCTCAATTTAGCTGATATATCTGGATAGCCCTCGTATATAAGCAGAGCAAGGCGGGAACCGATTTTTCGTGCTCTGTTTTCCCGCAACTATTATTTAACTTTTTCATTATTTAATATTTGTACTCGAAATATTTATATACACGAAGGGTAGATATATAAGATCTACCGGGAATCCATGAATTTTTGCCATTTTCGAGAAATAGGGCATTTTGTGGGAGTCACTTTTCAAAAGAATAAAATATTGTTCTATTTCCATGACATTTATACTATTTGCTGCCTAGTGCGACTGTTCATTATTGTAAAGTAACATTTTTGTCATTAGAAATGACGTCCTTTTGGCTAAACTTGTACTTTTAACCTTTCTTAAACAATTTTTTTTTTCAAATGTACCTGTTTCTTTATATTTAAATTTTAAATCTTTAATTCCACTTATCGGAAAGCACAATTCAATGCAACCATATAAATATCAAAAGATGGGTTATAACTTGACGCAATTGTCCAAAAGCACCCTTTTACGTTGTTTTGCCCAACACATCTATTGTGATTTTGGAGAAAAAAAACAACCCTATATTTTCAACCCTTAAATCAAACATTTTTTTCTGAAGATTCATAAAATCCGCTTTGAAGGAAGGCACATCTACAAAACCTGAAAGGAAAAATTATATAATAAGAGAGGCCATCTACAGACACCCGTGCCGTGTTCGGCATTACATAATCTTGATTTAAGAAATGAAATGAAATGACGTAATTGATGTTTAATGGCACACCAGCATCAAGCGGGCGATAATGCGCCAGACATAATTATTATGATCCTTGATTTAAAACGTAAAAAATCGTTTTACTTTTGTTGAAGGCTTCATGAGAAATTAGGTTACATATACAATTAGTTTGAACATCACTCCAGCCTTAATTCAATTTTAAAATTTTCGAGAGTTCTAAAGACAAATTCTTCAGCAAAGGAATATCTATGCAACCCGCGATGACTTTTGCATATTATGAACCGAGTTATTATTGTGTATGTCTATAGCCTCCTTC